ACGGCGTTGCTTTGCGTCAACAAGCCAATCGAAATGTTGTAGCAAGTCAAGACCAAGAACTGTCGTCTGGACATCTGCGACGAGAAAGATCCATTTAAAAGAACGTCGTAGGTTTAACTTAAGCGTACGCGAACGTTGGCCATACACTCAAATAGTGGTGCCATTTGTTGCACGCAATGAACCAGTCGCCTCTTCGATAACCTCATTCGAAGCACGTGGGATAACGCTGACTTCTGCGCTGGTGTCTACGAGATAGCGTGCTCCCCTACTGCGGTCGGTGACAAAGAAAAGGCGACTGAGGCAGCCAGCTACGTCCGTCGCCCCTACATGCTGGCCGGCCCGTTTCCCTGCGTGTTGCGCTTGAAGGAACAAGGCGGACGACACGATTTGGCCTGATGACCAAATCGCTCGTAGTATCAACAATAGCTTGGACTATGGGGAGATTTCGAACGTGATCTAGGACGAGTGCGACTACTGGAACAATTTCGGCGGTTGGATCCGGACTGTGTTAGGTTCTCTAGTCGGCTGGTAAGTGCCGCTACTTGTGCTCTTAGTTCTGCTACCTCCGTACTGGAAGTAGACTGAACCTGAGATATTTGGACGTTGGATTCCCAAATACGGTCGGCAATGTCGGCGAGCTGAGGAAGAAGCGCATCATTTGCATACAAGGGGTTACGTATGTCACGTCGGGGTCACCAATTATAGCGCGATGATCGTGCGCCATATATCGGGTACGAGACTAGACGGCCACCCAAAAGCAATGGGTAGAACACACAAAACTAAGCTAGGGAAAATGTTTATTTGACTGGAAGAGAGTTAGCTAATGCTAAAAATAGGGCACCAGAAGAGAGCTAGCTAGGGAGAATGTCGTTGGCGTCAAGTGCGTTGACGGAACATCGTTCGCAGTCGACTCGCGCGCCAAAGGCGGTGATCGCGTTCGTTTCCAACAAACGGGAACAGCGTTCCAACAGGCAAACCGCCTGATTCGCTAACACATAAGCAAGCTATACTTTTAATATATTTCAGAATAGTTTACACAGTCGTACGGGGGCATCTCCAGGTCACTACAGGTTAATTGATCTCGATTATGGAGACGGTATCGTCAGGCTCTTTGACGATGTTGCGGCAACACAATAAGCCCAGAATAGCCTCTATAAAGTGGTCTCATTAATTTGTATACGCTTCGCAACTTCAAAGTTCAGTGTTGATGCATGACCACGAGCCACTTGAGGACCCGTTGACCCGTGATAACGAGGAATTCGAGGTGGTTTTCGATTCACTTACCTTGGCTGTTACATCGGCAAGGATATGCGCAAAGAAACTTTAGTCAGTTCATACCTTGAAAAAGCCATAACTGCCTTCTTGAACCTGCGGCATCTTTGGCGACAGAATGGTTCCCCTCCGTCTGAAAGGCCGTGTTTACAAGACTACAATGAGGGCTATTTTGCTCTATGGGAGTGAGACTTGGCTCCTTCGGTCTGATGATCTTTGATCATCGCTGCCTGCGGAGCATTGTCAGGTGGCAACAGCGTGTCCACAACGATGATGTGCGTAGGCGAGTACTAGGTAATGATAACCATGCTAGCTCCCTAGAACAAGAGATAGCACAGAATAAGTTGCGTTGGCTCGGGCACGTGCTACGTGTGCCTGGTCACCGCTTACCTAGGCCTTGTTTAGTCTGCTAGGTGTAGATTGGCGCAAGGCTCGAGGTGGACAGAAGTTGACTTTGCAGCGTGGTCTAAAGTCACTGACGACCAAACTGGGTGCCGTGGGTCCGTATCGCCTTCTGGGCTGGAGTCCAAGTGACTCGCCTTGTGCTTGCCTCGAGACTTTACAGGACATGGATTGCAACCGACACCAGTGTCGCGTATACTGCCGTCTCCTAGTCGGACTGCCTGTATAAAGTGGTGTAGAATTATCTGCGGGGGAATGTCTGGTTATGACGCGGTGCAGCGAAAGCCGCAAGGCAGCTGTCTCGCCGATGCCGCTTTGTCTTTGCACGACAGCCAGATGCTTGTGACGGTATGTTGTCAACACAAGATGCAGGCGCCTTGACCCTGAATGTTAGCTTACGGCACAAGGGTTTTCAGGTAAGGCCTTCTCTCCCTTCCTTATTTCATCGTCGCTCGAGCGACGCCGCCACCTTGGCGATCAACGGAGCGACCATATCTAAGCAGTGCTTAGCCAAGTAAACATACTTCACCGTCTGTGATATGCGTCTTTGAAATCCCACCTCGTGGGTGGAAACCTGACTGCTCCTTCCCAATCCGACAGTCCCGTTCCACAGTGAGACGACGAATGAGAATCGAGGCCAGTCATTTAGTCACATCTGGTGTTAGCACAGTCGGTGCGACTGCCCTTCTAGTATCTTACTACAATGATCGATTCACTCCGGTTAGTCTGGACACTCTTCTTTCCAGTTATGTTCGAATAGGTAAATCAGTGCTTTGCAGAGAACCCTATCTCCATCCTTAAATAGTGCAGGTGGGAGGGAACCCGGGTCTGCAGCACGAAAACGATTGAAGACTGTGGTCGCGTTTCGGACAGCCTGTGGTGGAGCCCTTAAACTAACCCTCCATGGCTCGTTCTACATCACGTGAGTAGAAGAGGTCCTTGAGCAGGTAGCCAATTAAACTGATGTTAAAAGCGTTTCGTGCAATGAGCCATACGGCGCTTCTTATTGTGTCAGTGCACCCGCACTGTCTCTGAGTGTCTCACTGACGCCTGGTATTCTGGGACCAGTGATGCGGATTAGCTGGATGAGCTTGCGATAATTGCCTATTGCTCTTGTCTCCTCCGTTATTGAGTCCGACTGATCCATCAAGCATCCTTATCAGCACGTAGGCTCCGGTTTAGTTCGCGCCTAATAGCCCATCTGGTCTCATTGTGTTCAGAGCTAGACAGTAGTTATCTCCTGGATCCCAACAGGTTTACCGACCTCTCCGATATCCAGCGACTGGTGTGGTGACGATTGATACTATCATAAGCAGATACTCCTGCGTCGTGCATGGCGGCCGGGATCCTATTTCACTGAAGGTCACTGCCATTAGGACAAAAGAGCGGAAGTTCGGTGCGCAGTTCGTCTTGCTAAGCTTGCCTGACCGAGGGCTGAGACAATTTCCCACTTGCCAATCGTGGGAGACGCTTGGCGCGCCTCCTGGTAAAGTTCATGGAGAAATGCCAGCTTACTAAGATATGATGAGAGTCGTCGCAAGTATTCCAGTACGAGCAGCCGACAAGAATGAAACAACGCCAACTGTAACTTATGGCCATGTGGTCAATTTGGGTCCATCACTGGCCAGCTACAGGAGGACGCCAAGTGGTGCTTTGGCGCCCACTGTCTAAAAGCAGTGCTACTAAGAAACAACTGGTGCTCCGCACACAGTTGCAACAGACACTCGACGTCCGTCCGTTCGACCTTAAGCCCATAATTACCACCTAGCTGAGCGTCTGAGGAGCCCTAGTGGTCTGCCTGTGCCCTCATATCCCCTGCAAGTACTGTGATATCTGAAGTGGTGACACTGCTTTGTAGCATGTTCAATTCGTGATAGGAAGTCTCCTTGGCATCATCAGAACTGCAGTAGGTGGGAACATAAGCGAAACAACAGACAAACAGCGTTTTGTACTACTTCGTGGATCAACCTTAGTTGATGTCGTCAAACGGATTGCACACAAACGGCTGTTCACCGTAATTCAATCAACCCACCATGACAGCCTCGGAGCTGATGATGATGCCCACGCCGGCTCGACTAGAGGCTGCCGCATCAGTCTTTCCGGAAGCGTGCAACCTATAACGAGAGGGCAAGCCGACTGCAGTTAATTTTACAAATTTATTGGAAACGTTCATCTTAGTTTCAGACACAACACGCGCCAATACCCAGTGTGTCCAACGTGCGTACGAGTGCAACCTGCTGACCTAATTGTCAGCGTGCGAACGTTTAAGGCCTCCAGGGCATAGGGACAACCTGGCTTTGTAATTGTATGTTGCAATTACGCACCCAGTGGGTGGTACGGGAAGGTAGTCACGGACGGGTTGACTCCAGTGACATTACAGCTGCTATCGAATAAGCTGGGGATTAGAGGAAAGGTTAGTAATGGGGTTAGATGTGAGTAGGAGAAACAAGTGCAAAAGTAAGAAGGGAGGCGCCGGTAGTAGCATGTTTTCGCTTACCGGCTATGCTGTATGCGACAGATAAGGCGACCCTTGATAGTCTGCGCGTTGGCCGATGCAGGATGTAGTTCGCGTTTGGGGAGATTGTCATGGTTGTATGTGGGATGAGATACTGTCCACACCTTTGGCTCAAAAGCCTGTCCGCAAGGCTGCGGAGAGATTGCAGTGGTTTGGTTTTACAAAAATGGACGCCATCCCTTTTCACACCACCAACCTGGAGGACCAGGCGTCGGAGTTTGTTTGACCTTTAACCATTGACAAACTTGGTTGTGTAGCTCTCAGGGGTACATCACCCACTATAGCCCGGTGGGTCGATGAGGTACGCAAGACGTCGCACTAGTTTAGTAACGACGGGGTGAACCAGTCAGCACCGCAATATCACGCCCCAGGCTCCGATGGTTGTGCCACGTGTTGGGCTTGCCATCCGATTCCTGTGTTGTTTGCGCGACCGGGGTCTAGATTGAGGATGAGGAGGTGGATAGGCCAAGCGATAGCTAGGTCAAAAGGACTGAAAACCGTCACTTCAAAATTTCTCGACTGTGTCGCTGAGGTCCGAAAGACGATGAACACGTCTGATTTGATCTACTTAGTGAAATGGAGAATAGCCGGTTTCAATGGCGCTTGTGTTGTGATTCTCTTTGTCCCTCCGTCTTCCGCTTATCTTCCCTACTCCCAAGTTGTATTCGGTAATGTTTTTACCTCATTTTTATCTCTATAAGTCTTATACTCCTTTTATCGCGACGCATGAGCTGAAGTGTGTTTATCACCTACCTACATGTGTTGCTGATGATTTTTGTATTGCGGTAGAATAGTTGAAGTATGTTTTCTAGTTTCAGCTTATATGTAATGATGATGGTGATGTTATCCTAGTATTGAAGCGTAACACAGAAAGCGATCCTACGTTAGCGAGGAGATAACTCACATGAAATTTTGGCGTCAGCTTCTGGTGAGCTTTTAGTTTCAGCAACTGGTTACTGTATCAATGGACAGCAAGATATTTTACTCTGTGTTTCATTTGTTGCAGTTGGTTTTTGGACTCTCCCCATGTCTTCCATTTCATCATACTTCAGCGTCCCTTTGGGGTTATAATGAACATCAAGGTAAGTAGCAGCAGTTAGCCTCTGATTTTTTCAACTCACAACAGCCAAAGCTTATCGCTTGGCTATCAAAACCTATACTTTCTAGTGTTCCAATTTCCTCAAATGCCACTGATACCGTGCTGATCGACTTCAGGTTAGGACATACCGTTCCACCCAATTCACGTTTAGTTCACCCAATATTGCGAAACCATTCCATCTTGGACATTTCCGTGCCACCGTTACGGGGAACTTTATTCGAAATATCAATGAAGCAGTTGGGCACAATGTGATCAGTGTGAACTATCTTGGCGACTGGGGAACACAGTTTGGTAGGTCGTGTATGCGGGGTGTTTTCTGTGTTATCCTCTGCGCCGTTTGCTCGTGAAGCATTTAGAGCACTTTGTGTTCTTCTCCTTCTCCATATACCTTTGGTGAAGTTTGCCTCATCGTAGTACGAAATGCTATTAACCTCAATCTTGTGTTGCGCAGGTACAGGTACAATCTTCATTGATTATATTTTCGCGCCAATTTACTTACGTATCACATCACCAGATGTTCATTTTCATCATCATCAATACATCGTCATCGTTATACACGTTAGCTGCAGGTGGAAAACACCTCAGCTATTGTGCCGCAACAAAGAAGACCAAGAAAAAATAATGGTACGCCGGCTGGGTCCCCGGTAACCGATGGACATTGTTACGGAGAGCTAACAGCCGGTTATCGTGCCGCAAAATGTTATATTATGCCTAGTGAGTGAGAGCATGGTTGGACGGGAGGCTAAGCAGGAGTGGGGTGGACAAAGGAACTCACAACACAAAAACCATTGGGACCGGCTCCAAGCCATATCAGCAAGTGTGTTCTATCAAACGTCTTCATCGTCCCTGGGACCCCAACTTCGAAGTAAAGGTTTTCATTTCTCTCGATCAAGTCATCGCTTGGTCTCCTTTTCAAACCGCACCCCCGGCGCGCAAACATTGCACGTCGCGGGAGTTGGCGTGCTGGCCTGTGCAACTGGTGGCGTAGCCATCGGACCCTGGTGCGTGGTATAATGGTGCTGGGCGGTTCACTTGCTCTTCCTGCACCGGATACGCGATGCTGAACACGCTCATTGCTCACACGGTGCTCCCACCAGACATGAGCTAAGCTGCGAAGTCAGCGATGATGGAAGGTGATGAGCCACTTTATGTCTGTCGACCTGATGACTCAGGTTTCACAACCATATCGGAGAGTTGGACGGATGGCTGCGTTATAAACTCTGCCCTTCAGGGCGAGAGTAATGTCGTGTCTGCGCCACAGGTGGTGGAGATTGGCAAAAGCACCTCGAGCTTTTGCTATACGGTTGTAACCTCATCTTCGATCCCATGGGTGCTAATATAGCTGCCCAGGTACTTGAACTCCTGAACGACTTTTAGCAGATCACCACCAAGCGTTAGCGCAGGGTTGGGTCTCTGCCAATCTTGGAGAAGTACTTTGCATTTCGATGGAGCGAAGCATAGCCCAAAACGATTGACAGCCAGTGCTATCGGTCCAGTGCTATTTGGCATGTTAGGGAGCTGTCACAGAGTAGGGCAATATCGTCCGCATACTCCAAGTCAAGAAGTCGCTCACCAGGAAGTAGCGCCACACCTTCTAGGTCGTGTCCAGCGAACGCTGTTTCCATGACTTAATCAATAGCGAAGTTGAAGAGGAAGGGTGACAGCGGGCATCCTTGTCTCACACCGCTGGTGATACTGAAGGGTGGCGACAGTTTGCCATAAACCCTCACCCTGCCCGAACTATGCGCGTACAGCGCTTTGATAATGTTTACATATTTATCAGGCACACCTTTTCTCAGCAGACAGTCCCAAAGGGCACATCGATCGACTGAGTCGAAGGCACCTTTTATGTCAAGAAACACGACAACGGTGGGTCGCCAATAAACATGGCGGTGCTCCAACACTTGACGCAAGATGAGGATGTGGTCGATGCAGCCCTGACCTCGACGAAATCCGGCTTGCTTTTCACGAATCTGGCTTTCACGAGTGCCAGTCAGTCTGCGGAGAATGACAGTGACAAGCAATCTAGAGGCAATTGAAATCAGACTGATCCCTCTATGATTGTTGCGTTCCAAACGGGAGTTTCCCTTGAAAATTTGGACAATGACGGAGCGGTTCCAGTCTGTCAGGACTGTCTCCTGCTCCCAATGTTTAACTAGCAATTCGTGTGAATCAGCTACTAGAGCAGGTCCCCCGAATTTGAAGAGGGCTGGGGGAATTCTATCTGCTCCTGCGGCCTTATGCAATTTCAACATCCTAATCTCACGTTCAACTTCTGCGCGTGAGGGATTATCCAAGGAGACGGTCCAGGGTTAAGGGCGCTCAATGCCTGAGAAAGAAAGCGATAACTCAGGTTGGTTAAATTGCCCTGCAAAGTGTTCAGCCCAACGCTCCAAGCGTTTTGACACGCTGTGGATCATCTGCCCACTCTCGTCGCGTATGGTCTCGCTAACACCAGGTCTCCTGCTGCCTGTTGTCCGTATCAGACGGTATAACTTACGATAATTACCAACGGCAGCGGCTGTTTCCATCTCAGAGGCACGATGAGACCACCAGGTTTCGCGGTCCTACTTCAGGCTAGCCCGTAGTTTTGCCCTCAGATTTTTGCAAACCTCGTTGTATTCGCTTCCAGCCGGAATACGTCTGCGAGCATCCATAGTTTCCAGAGAGTGTGTAGAGACCCAATGTCCGGTTTGTCAATTTGCTTTGCCACATGACGACATGCCTGCTAACAGCAACACTTGACGAATATGTGACCAGTGATCTTCAACGGTGTTTAGTGAGCGCTTACTCAGCCCAGATGTCAGCGCACTTTGGTACACATTCCGGATATCTGGCTTCGCCAGCTGGCTAGTGTCAATCCGTTCACATCGATGTTGCTCTCGTCCACCGAAACGCACCCGGAGGTCGGCACAGACAAGTGCGTGATCAGAGTCTACGCTCTTACTCCAAATCGAGCGACAGTTTTGGACACAGCCTCTCCAGCGGTAACTGATCGCGATATGATCAATTTGCGTCCATGGCTGGCTTGAGGCTGGTGGCCTCCAAGTCACGCCTCTGCGGGTGCTGTGTCGAAAGTTAGTGCTCGCGAGAAAGAGGCAAGCATCTTCACACAGCTGTAGCAATCGCTCGTCGTTATCATTACAGGAGCCTACGCCATGTTGGCCGCCCAGCTGAAGCTCATCAGAGGATAATTTTCCGATTTGGGCGTTTAGGTCGCCAGCCGTCACCACAGTATCCGTGCTTCTTCTGTAACGAAGGAGCTCTTGAAGTTGCTGATAGAAATCATCTTTTACCGAATCAATGCTACAGTTCGTAGGGGCGTAGTCCGCAATAACAGACAGGCAACATTTGTCCCCGTACGACTTCATAGCACGGAACGAACCACCTAATCTAATGGCGCACATCCTACTGTTTACTGGGATCCAATCAATCAGGGCAGCTTCAACCCAGGGACTCAAAACAATGCCGGCGCCAGCTTGACCGGCATTTGAATTCCCATCATCGCCAGACAGGCGCAATGAGAATGTGCCGCCAGTGTCGCATGTGGGGATCTCAGGGTAAGCACGGAGCTCGAACCTTGCAGGCGGGTTTCTGATAAACAGCAAATATCGATCGATAGGGTCTCTAGTGTGCGGGCAAGTGCTGCTTGTTGGCCAATCTGCAGCAAGGTGCGCACGTTGAGGCATGCCGGTCTTAGCGAGACACGAGGACTACAAAGGGAAACGAATGAACTGACTTTGTCCGCTTGGTTGAACATGGACTTGACGGCTGGATTGGAGCGAGGCCCTGCGATGGTGTGTGATTTGAAACTAGAAGACCAGCGACTATTGAAGCAAGCTGGGGGAGGGCCAAGAATTGGGGGATTGAAACTGGGGGGATATAAGTAAAGTTGGAGCGGGACGATAAGGATGAAGAAGCGCAAGAAGGGGTATAAGAAGACGGGAAGGCCAGAGCAGTAGCCTCCATACCCCTATCCACCCTGCTCGATGGAGCAGATAGCGCGCCGTTTATTATCTTCTGCAACGGCCAGAGCATCAAGCAATTGTTGTAGGAAAGGTTCATTGTATTGCGTGGGCAGAATACTGTCAGGTTGCCCAGACCTAGACAAGAAAACAATTAGGGTTCTCAACCAAAGCCTTCGGTTCAAAAACCTTGCCGCAAGGCAGCGGGTTTTGGCACTGGTCTACAGATCCCGTTTTATGGAATGAGGAGCCGCACCCATTCCAACCCCCAGACCTGGAGGCCCAGGAGGCTGAGTTTGTCTGGCCTCTAATCATTGACCAATCTGGTATGAGTGACTCTGAAGGTGCACAAAAAACCACCACTGAGCATAGCTCAATGGATCACTGAGGCACGCAAACCATTGCACCACGGTAAGGTCCAGCCTCATTGCGATGGTGGGATGCAGTCAACCAGAGTAGCTTCATCCCGGGGACTCAGGGCAATACCAACACCGGCTTAGCCGGTGCTCGGAGCTGCATCGTCACCGGATAAGCACAATGATAAAGTGCTGCTAGTGTCATCTATATGGGGAAATCACAGAGCTCGAGTCTTGCTGGCGGTTTTCGATAAGCAGCAGATATCGATTGGGAGGATCTCTAATGTTGGGTGAAGTTTTGCCTGTGCAGTAGCAATGTGCGTACATTGAAGCTTGCTATTCTGACGGAGGCTTGAGGGCTCCAAATGGAAGCCGATGAACTGGAATGAACCGCTTACTTAGACATGAGCCTGTTGACAGGGCATGAATGACGCTCCTTGTTCCCATGAGTTGAAACTAGAGGACTATTGAAGCAAGGTGGGGGTGTGCCGAGAATTTAGCGGTTGAAAACAGTGGGAGAAAAGTGAAGGAACGGGGTGATAAGGGTGAAAATGCTTAGGAGAGGGAATAACAAGACGGGAGGGCTTAAGCAGTTGTATCCCAACCCCTATCCATCCTGCTCGATGCAGCAGGGAGGGCACTGTTGCTTATCCTCTGCGGTGTCCAGGGCATCAGAAATTTGTTTGAAGAGAGATTCATTGTATTGCGTGGGCAGGATACTGTCAGATTGCCCACGCCTAAACAGGAGAACGATTAAGGCTGTCAACCATAGCCTTTGTTCAAAAACCTGACCGCAAGGCTGCGGGTTTGGCATTGGTGTGTATATATATATATATATATATATATATATATATATATATATATATATATATATATATGCTTGTGAGCCATGAGCGTGGCTATTCGGGACCACTACAGAAGCGACGACGGGTCCTGCAGAGAAGTATTCAGAACCGGCGCAGCGTTTGTAGGCACTCTGCATTCGATTTACTAACCGCGTGCATTCATGCTAAGTCTCTGTATTTCAGGTGGTGGGTTTTCAATTTTGCCTAAATGCTTTTCTTTCTCATATAAATGTCTACATGTACTCTATTCCATTAACTTGCACACCTCGCTTAAGCCAATTGTAGTCGATTTCCGTAGCATTTTTGTGTTCGTGGCATTCCGTAAAGTATACTTTCTGACCTCGTGAACTTATCTAGGATTCGTTTGTAAACAACTTATTTCATATGCTCATTAACTTAAGGTTTATGTCACCGTTTCCTTATGCATTAATCGGGTTATTTTCTCTCTCTCTCTCTCTCTCTCAAATGATTGGCTGTTGTTTGATATCCCCGGTGTGGCTGCGCTTGATGTGCATGTTGACAAGGTGCCTACCTGTCTATTACCCGCTACCTCGTCCGTACTGGCTCCAGGAGACAGTTGGTCGTTGCTGGAGGGGACGGGGTGCACGGTCCTTGTGGCCGTGTTAGGCTCGAAGAGTGGTTCCATGCACTCAGCATGGAGCAGACTACCGTCCAGCCACCGCCTTGTGTGCGCTTGATTCCCCTAATACAGTGTGCTTGTGTTTGCCTGTGAAGGAGTGTGGGCCGGCTCCGTTGATGAAACGTTGTTCCCATCCGCATGCCTCCCGATCATATTCCTTCGGGTTTACACTGGATATGGGGTGTGTGGTTGGAGCTGTGGGTGATACAGCGCAAGCCACCCATGGTTCCTCTGTAGGCGCAGGCGTCCTGTGGCTTGCCACAGTGACAAGCAACTCCGAAACGGGATGCCGCCAACCAAATATATACTTGAGTACGGAGTTTCTAACACATGGAGACAATTATAGGAAAATGATTTTTGGAAACTTGACTTTGAACGTAGAATTCCGTAATTGTGCGTATTGACCTTGATCTTGTATACCAACAGCTGAGAAGAAGAGGCAAGACGGATTGGAAGCCGTGACTTGCACCGATACACATCAGGCATTTACCAGCGGACAGAACAGCCGTTGTAACCATGTTCTGTAAGCAACATGACTGATGCACTAATGTAATTCCAAGGCGGCATTTTACGTCACAGCGCGTTTCACACCAGCCAGTGGAAGTCAATCGTGTATCGCAGAGTACCCGAATAGGCAACCAACTGAAATTTAGCGTGGTTACCAACACAGCTTATGGCATCTATTTATGGATTTGCTGTCACGTTACTTGTCCCTGCGCACTGAAGATGCCACCTCGATTGAGGCGACACGTCTGCTATCAAACTGCCCAGCTCAGAGAACCAGTCAAGACCTCAACCGCCTCATTAGGACGGGACACAGCTAACTGGCCGGGAAACTGAGTCGCGATGATGCTTATCACTTTCTCTGATATCGACTTCGAGGCAGACTACTTCAGCGGTTGATGAACCTGTTTGATACTGCTTAGCAGCGGCGGTTGTCGTCTTTGCTAGTTGTAGTCTCCTCTATCTGTATATTCTTCTACTTGACTACCAAAGTTTTTATCAGCGCACTGAGACGTGAATCGATCTACCTGTGTCCGCCGCCCCATCCAGACTTTTTAATTCATACCTGTCCAGCTGAGCCGAGTGTTACATTTACGTGATCATTCAATTCATGCAGGTTCCCGCACGGAGCCATCAGTCTATACACAATGCTGTTTTACTTCCCTGCGCAGACCTACTCTCGTACGGATGGAGAAAGTACGGTGTGGAAGAAAAGTTGGCTACCGATCCAATTTGTCATCTGAATGAGGTAAGAACTAAACACTTCTCTTAGTTATAGCTGTCACTATGCTCTCGAATCTACTTTATTTTTATGCTCTTAATGAAGATAAGTAATTTCGGTCTTCACATGTGATTGGCTAAGCATTAGGCAGTTTTTTCGCACCTACCTACACGACTTTGAGCCGCATAATTATAACCGGGCTGTTTGTAGTTGAGGTACACTGTTGTTGTCTCTCACTCTCGCTTTGTTCTAAGTTGTATTTCCTGGGCACAAAAGTAGTAGACTTTCGTTTCTCCTTCTGTTGTACTTCATAGCCTTTGCTGTAGTTTTTCGGCGTTAAGTAACTTATGCTGTCGTCTGAGCCGGTCCGTAGGCCAGTGGTAACGAGCTGGTCTCCTAGTCTTCCTGCTCGGGTTCAAGCCTGCGTAGGGCAGGGCGATCATCGCACCACCAACGACCGGTGGTGGTTGCGCGACAAGCGAAGCGTCCGTACTGCGTACCGGCGTACTGCTGATGCCTGTGGTCTGATGCTTGAACCTGAAAAATTATAGCACTGTTTTGTTGGGTTTATCTGTGAGCCATTGAGAGCTATTTGACTCATAACTGTCACTCAGTGCTCTCAGATAAGACCGGTGCGCAATTTTCGAGGCATGTGGGAATCTTCCGAGCTATTAACCGGATCCCCTGAATCTCACTGCCGACTTCGATAGCACAACAGAATCTCGTGGGGGGGGGGGCAAATGCATGTGGCATTTTTAGACAGATGTTCGGTCCATTTTTTCTCGAAGCTAGTGATTCAACCACTGTTGCAACTAGACTGGCCCTTCTGTAGAATCACAAAGGTTTCCATGCATCTGTGGGAATAGTCCATCGCGTAATCTTCTTTGTGCATTTACCCAATACGTCACTTATCGTGGCGTTTGCATTTCTCAATACCGGGACATGCAGTATAGGTTCATCATTTTCGTGTATGACCAGATTTTTTCACACAGCCGTCACTTCTATTATTATTATTATTATTATACACGTTAGTTACAGGTTGAAAACACCTCAGCTATTGTGTCGCAATACAGAAGACAGGAAGAAAAACTACAGTGGCATGCCGCCTGAGTTCCCCGTAACGGATGGACGTCGTTCCGGAGAGCTAAAAGCCGGCTATCATGCCACAAAAGTTATATTATGTCTAACGAGTGAGAGTATGGAGAGGCTAAGCAGGAGAGGGGATGGGCATAGGAACTCACAACACAAAGGCCATTGGGGCCGGCTCTTCACCATATCAGCAATCAAACGTGTTCATCATCCCTAGGACCACAACCAAGCAGTCGGGATGCACCAACCGACGCCAACTTCCAAGTAAGGGTTTTCATTTCTCTCAACCAAGTCATCGCTTGGTCTCCTCTTCCAACTGCATCCCCAGCGCGCAAACAATGCACGTCGCGGGAGTTGGTGTGCTGGCTTGCGTAACTGGTGGCGTAGCCATGGGAGCCTGGTGCGTGATATAATGGCGTTGAGCGGTTCACTCGCTCTTCCTGCACCGAATACGCGATGTTGAACACGCTCATTGCTCACACGGTGCTCCCACCAGACATGAACTAAGCTGCGAAGTCAGCGATTATCGAGTGTGACGAGTCTTTATGTCTGTCATCCTGATGGGTCAGGTTTCAGAACCATATCGGAGAGTTGGACGGATGGCTGCGTTATAAACTCTGCCTTTCAGGGTGAGAGTAATGTCGCGTCTGCGCCACAAGTGGCGGAGATTGGCAAAAGCACCTCGAGCTTTTGCTATACGGTTCGTAACCTCATTTTCGATCCCACGGGCGCTGCTTGACATGTTTGCGAGCTGTCACAGATTAAGACAATATCGTCGGCGTACTCCAAGTCAAGAAGTCGCTCACCAGCTACCTGCAATAACGGTTCTTTTGCTTTATGATTATTTGACGTGGATGCTGATGACGTGCATTTAAATCGGCTTCCAGTGTACTCTTTCGGATTTTTTCGACAGACGGCGTGAAAACGACAAGGAGAAGGGAGGAAACGCATTAAACAAGTTTGTTTCAAACGTGCGATCGCTCATTCTCTGGGCGATGCAGAGTACGCTCCAATCCACCCATCGGACTTTTCTGAGTTGAGATTTCAGGCTACTCACCAATTGCTCGTGCTTGCGGGGGAATGAGGAGCGGCCGTTTTCATTGCCAGCAATATACTTGGCTGCAGTTACAATTCACCGCAGCGCCATAAGACCCGGTCATGATGTCCATCCAGTGAAGTTATTCTAACGTGGTCCATCACGGTCCTGACCAGCGTACAGATATAACTCAAAGCAGTATTCACCCATTGACAATGGGCCATTGTCCCTATCTAATCTCTTACCTGCTGTCACCTAACTTTCCCAACCTAAGCTTTCGACAGCTCTAAAATAGGGAATCACGCATTATCCATAATTTTGCTGTGGATCGTAGGTGCGAAAACCTCCCTACCACCTTCCAGAATCACAAGCAAACCTTGTTTTTACACCCAACACTTCTGTGTCCATTTTAGGGATTGGTCTGGCTGTATCTTGCTCTCCACTAAATTTTTTCAACTTTTATTGTCAGGAAACTGCCTTATCATACCTATTTTTTCTGTTCTGCATGCTTCCTTTCAGTGGCTTTTCACAGTGATTGCACGGTTGAATGCCACTTTTCTCCTTTCAGGTCTACGTTCGGATAAATGCGGAGGTTGGTAAATCTGGTCCACCTGCAGATGCTGCCCTCAATCTGATGCGTGAGCAAAGTGGAACTGTGGATTCCAAACTGTGGTCACATATCAGAGCGTTAACGATAGACCATCTGAAGAAGACTTATGCCGTGCGTGCATACTCCCTCTTCGGTCACATTTCAGCTTGATCATCTGTTTGCATGACTGTTCTTCCAGATGGCTGTCGAAAGGTTGTGATGGCCACATTGTCTGCTTTCACCCTCCGCAAAATATCGTCCTATATCATTTTTCATTGAGCGCGAAAATAACAAAGCACCGACGTATTTGAACACAGGCACCGAAGTGCGGTGGATGCAGTTGCCACTACTCGCCTCATCAGAATAACAATGAAATACAACGGTAAGGAAATGCACTTGGATGCAACTAGACTAGTACCAAATGATCCTGAAAGAAATACGTAAGACGCATCAGAATGGAATAGAAATTCAGTACTAGATGTGTGAAACCAAACGTAGGATCGGCACTGACTGCGCGACTGCACCACCGGATGTGGACTATCACGAGGACCACATCTATTCTGATCAAGTCTGTCCTTTTCTTTCTGCCTCTGTATCACCTCCTCTACTCGCCACCTCATGCTTTCGACTAACTTAGTGCAGCAACGGTGTATGGTGTTAACCGATTAACGGGCATACGGAGGACATGACCTAGCCGACGCAAGCGATCGAGATTTTATAGTACTCACAAGTAGCAGGATCTTAGTTGTAATTCTGATAAGGCTTTCGTCCCAATAGTTCACAAGCTACATAGCAGCCTAGTCCGGAAAAGCGCCAGACGCGTTTCGCCCTACTGGGGCTCGCCAGTAGCGCGCATTCCCTCGGTCCTCTAAGGAGGATCGCACCCATGACCGCTAGAGGCAGATGCCAACTAGCCAGCAGCTTAAGCCACTGAGCCATGGAGGACGTTGGCTGGGCTACATAATTTGCAAACTAGCTGGGATATAGCACCACCTATCTACCACTGTCACTGACAGTGGTTAGTCTGCGAGGTGATGACGTCCTTTCACTAGACGCTATATCCATAGCATTTGAAACTAGGAGAGGCTAATCTGATTTTATAGTACTCACAAATAGCAGAATTTTAGTTGTAATTCTGATAAGATTGAGATTTATCAAGCATTCGATTGAGGCTCTAGAAAGCTTTCTACCAACAACCAACTGGTGCACTTTTCCGAATTGCTCACCTGGTCTTCCCACCGGTGATCAAACACGACTAGTCGTTTAATGCCTTTCCTGTGAACTGGCTACATCTCTGATCCATGCAGTAAGACCAACTGTACCGCAGCGTTGTGCACCCTAACTTTCGCTGACATACTGCTATCTCGCCGTCTCTGTGAATGATTGAGCCTCTAAACTACTGTTACACGCAGTAACCACCATCAGTGATGGGATTGCTTGTCACCTTTCCTATTCTCTATGGCGGTTATTACCTTGTTAATACGTTAGAGAAACTGTCTCTAAAAACAGTAATTTACAATCGCGTGGTCTGCGCGTATATTGGCTCTGGCCGATACGTGTGTGACTAGATGCACTCCGGGTGTCTAATCAAACTCCGGCTTGCTAACGGACTGACGGTTTTCATGATTGAGTTATGACAAATGCATCTTATGTCTATTCCCTTCCATCGGTACTGTCTTTGGTAACCCCTTAAATTCCGATCCTATTTTACCACTCACTGTAACGACAGACTTAGAACAGCTGAATTCTTACTGTGTCGTTGATCACTACGCGGTACTTCATGAGTAAGTACTACTGCGTCAGGAATTAGCGGTATCATAGGAGTAGGTAAGTACGACTAAAACGGGTTAGTTGTGAACTAGCGCAATGGCCTACCACAAGGACAGCGCTCGGAATTCGAAGTTGGCGCTGTTCAAAGAAGAAATAGGGAGACAGTGCTTGACGAGGGTTACCAGAAAGATCACCTTGTTCAACATCCAGGAAGAAATTCTCATATATGTGGAACCGTAGGTGATCATATTATGGTTCCCCGATACTCCAATCAACCAATTCCACTCCTCCTGGATGCTTGCAGCTGCATGTGATGCATTGGCTTTTGTACAAACGCAGAGGTGGCGTCAGTGAGCACAGATCAACGTTCACCTCAGTAAGTATAAGTAACTCGCGTCTCTTGTTTCCATCCAATACAGTGGCCATGCATTAAGTGCGTTGACATCGCAGCTGCTTATTACTATTGCCTTTACCTCAGTTAACCTTCACCTTTCGTATGACGTTTTCGCGAATACCCACGCCGTTGTTCATAGATCGGTTCTCTTTTGGACAACATGAAATATTAATTCTTCACCCCCTTACTCTGCCTTCTCTTCAGCGAATGAATGTGCAATTCACCGCCTACGAATACGAGTCAGATTCCGTGGGGTCAGCCTACCCTTTGGTCCAGCGGCTTTTGGATTTAGGCATCGCCTTTAGAGATTGGTGAGTTGGTCCCAGATCTACCTAGCTGTCGGTCGTGGATTTATGGTTTGATGTAGTTTTGTTGCCTCAGCCATCTAGCGAAATGAGAATGGGTGATACTCTCTTCTATCATCTCCGACCAGCCCCGTCTTCGAGGTCACTAACACGAAACGCTTACCTTCGTGCTCCCTGAGGTACTGCGACTTCAACTGTCTTGTCACATGCCGCTAAATATACTTATTCACAAAGACTGCACAACAATTGGAAGCGAGGAATGCACTTCGGAAAACAAATGCGAGAGCACGACTTTTGTGCTACCGCCATATCCAAACAGCGATGTTGCTGATATTGAGTACCCTATCCTCTGCCGTGGTTTATTTTGAATGGCGTATGCAAGCATAAAGTGTACTCTTTCTCTTCAACTTACATAATTCGCTCGTATTTGATTTTTCCCATCACATTCAATCGGCGACTTCGTTCTTTTCATCCGCTGTGTACTGCTGGAGTATGTTGATCTCGGACACATTTCGTGTGTCAAACAGATTCGTCACATTCTGTAGAGTAGTACTTCAGTTATTCCCTCCTTCTGGAATCTATCGACACTGCCTCCGAACTCCGTGGCATGAAAACCCACGAAAGTCTTTTCGCTGATCGTCAACTTAATCCTAAGGGGCATTGGACGACCTCATCGTTTGGCGACGCAGCTCTGCCCAGCTCACTGCCATGCTTGAGATCGGGCTAGTCTCCTCAGGCACAACTACCCTCACTCAGTCCTCAACCACCTTTGGACTTTCTGAGTTAGTTCATGATGTCGAATCTCTTAACAGATTTGAGAGTATTAAACCCCTCCTAGTGGGTCACAGTAGGACGAGACGGTTGTCCATTGTTGTTACGGACGTCTGCTAACCGCTTGACTGAATGTCACTATCTGAGCTTGCTCACATTCTTTTGCTGTTTCACGTCTATATCTTCCATACTGATGAATCTTTCCGTGTTTCAGACCATTTTCCAACCCCACTTTCTGAATGCATCCTTGAGTGTCTCCCTGACTTCTTTTCAATCCACAAACGGTTTCCTTTCTTTGGCTTTAGCGACGGGGCCGTTTGCATTCCTGGAGGCACCTATGACGGCGAATCACGACGTATTGTGCTACTCAAAAGCAATGGTGATACTCTGTATCTGACACGGTTAGTTTTTGTCTGCTATTTCGCGTTACGTCTCAATTTGTGGTGGGATTTGGCACCTGTCGCCCCCGGCTAACCTTCTCATATCATAGCTTTTTGCAAAATGTGCTTACGATACAGAGTTTTCTGTGCATTAATACAAACACCAATAACTGTGAACTGTTCTATCCAGCCGTCGTTTATCATCATTTGTAATTGCAATGGAGCAAACATAAATCTGCTCTTGTAGTTTGCTGGAGAATACTCTGCTTTTATCCCCGTGCTCGATGACCCACTTATCTAACCATCCGTCTTCCTAAACTTTATGATCGAATGATGTGCACACTGTAATTGGCTATTATCAACGCTTCAGGATGAGTTGGTCTAAGCCTCTGCTTAAGCTGTCAACGCAGAGGCGGACTTGTAATGCCTCTGTGAACAGGCTCCCCTAGCGAATTGCTATTATTTACAGATTTAACTAAGCTTCTTGACTCAATATGGTTGTGAAGCTTGTATATTTTGTTTCCATAATTTAGCGTGGTCTATCCGCATTCCATTCCACAATTTCGTGTGTTTCGTACGTGCAGTGAAGTCAGTCAGAGATCAAGCCGCTCAGATACCACCTAGATAAACTAAAATTTCTTACTGTTCTCAAACTACCTTGTATAGTCGTTCTTATCTCTGGCTGACCGTCGTTTTGCTTGCGACTTGAACTATAAAAGGCACTCATGCGAAAGGAACATGATTATTTGAGCGAATAAATTTGAGGATCGTTAAAGGCTGTGGTGCGTTTGCCTGGAAGCCAATTCCCAGTCACTAAGAGTCTCCACTTATCCGGAGGTGATTTGACACTTGCCTTTGTTTTAACCTTCGCCACTCTGTCACGCGACCAACCTTATTCATGAGATTCTTTTAATCTCATCGTGATCACCTCAAACTAGTGCTCCAGTTCGGTGGTTCCCTCAAAGATTACAACTCTGCCTTGTAATTCGAGGGTGCGGGTTCGCGCCTGCGTAGGTACCGGGCGATCCTCGCAGTATCCTTAGCCCATGTGCAACTGGTGGTGGTTGCACGGCATCGAAACCTCGATACTGTATATCAGCGTACTGCCTGCCCCTTGACCTTATTGGTCCTGCTCTCCTTGTTCGCAGACTCGGTCACCCAATTCACAGGAAGAGCAGGAGTGTGGGCGGTGAACAAGAAGAGCAAGCTATTGGTTCCCGTCACTCATCACTTTTACCTCATTTTGCCACCTTAGTGGCTGCTCTGCGGAAGGTATTCAACACGTTAGACTAATGTGCGAGAACGAATGTACGCTTTGTACTAACAAGACCGACTTTGGCAGGCACTCAGCTCCATATGTTGATACTCGACTGACGACGTACCTATGCTGTACGATGGATCACTCAATATTCGGTCTTGGTATCCAATCACGGACGTGCCCCATAAAGCTGAACCAGCAAGAAGTTTTACAGTTGTGCGACCTACACTACCCTTCCTCCATACATCGCTTTGCAGCATAAGAACAAATCTTCTCTGTCAGTTATATTTGCGGTTAAAAATGTCCATCCCAGACGTTGCAGCTCTCTGTGTTGTCTCTTCTCTTCAAAATATGTGCAGCCAGTGGGTAACTTATTAGAGAGTAGTTGCCCCTCAAAGCAACGGCTTCTCTTGCAGGTCACCACCAATTGAGACAGCATTTTTGCTGTTCCAGTCGTTGCTGTTTTTTTCAGGGCACTATGGAGGTTTTCAAATTATTTGCTAAGGTTTTTCTCAACTCAGTCAGACCTCTAACAGATGTCTCTGAAAAAACGACAGACGATCAATTCATTTTATTAGTATACGTCATTTTTGCGCATTCGGTCAATCGTCCCGATGGAATACCTGCCAGAGGTGCAACCCAATTACGTCGGTTTATTATTACAGCTCAGGTGTCAAATGGATTTACCACAGAGTACACTTATTGCCGACACAGTACTATGATGGGTCTAGTGAGCAGCGCAATGTCACTATCCGCGTCGTCCAACTTTATTTCCATCCAATTGACCACGTCCTCAGCTTCTTCAATATGGATGTCTGCGGCACAGTAGCTGTGTTTCCCACCTCTAGGTTAGGTGTATAATGATAATGATGACTGTGGATGCCTGAGTGGTGGAATTAATTTCACCATCATCCTGATAATCCTACTGGGCACTAATGTTTACTTAACCATCTGGACGCCTGCGATCGCACATGGTCACATATGCTCACAGATCTTTTCTATCTGTCAACTTCACTGCTTTGGGACGCCGTTTCAGTAATGTGTCGCGAACTTCACAGCCATTTTTATGACTAAACTACCACTGGATATGGACAGTGTCTTTGCCGGTATGTGAAAATTGCGTACTACGGTGTTTTCAACACATTCTTCCTCCTTTTCATATGGGATTCTCCAATGTCAATTTACAAGCAACATCCAGACAATTTACTTAGCATGTGGTCATCTTTGTCTTAACGCTCATTAACTCTATCAATCAGGACGGTCGATTCTCCTGTATCGGTCACAATGAATTTACACTGTGGGTGGTGCTGAATTCTTTCGTTTCAACACGTGGGCTGTATGCCTAATGAAAACCACGTCATTGTCGGAAGGGGATTTGAGCGTACCCTTTAAGTGGTCACGGGTGACTGGTTTTTGTGTAGATTCGTCGCAGTTAGGCACATACAGACAGCCACCACACATCCAGGAAAGCGCTAGACAGCCGTTTCCTCCTATTGGGACTTGTCAGTAGCGCGCACCCGCCGAATCCTGCCGGATTCGAACCCACGACCTTACTCTTGCGAGTCAACGACTTATGTCACTGAGCCATGGGCGACGGCAGCGGACCGGCATGATGGACATCAAACTGCGATATAGCGCGGCTCATCCTCCACTGTCTTGCATGTTATGAATGTGCAGAGGAGAGGGCTGGCCCCCAGAGCAACGACTTCCTTTGCAAGCCACCACCAATTGTATGTTTGATATTGCCTACTCAGACGATGCTTCCCTATTTAACGTCAACAAATTCACTATTGAGTCCGTCGACTGCACCGTACATTTTTCAGGGATTTACTCCTTATAGTATGTTTTATCAGTTGGATATGTTAATAACGCCGTAAACACTTGTCACTAACCACAGACGTCTTGGGGCTTGCTTTACGAAATCCCCTGCGGAATTGGTACTGTTTGCTTTGTGAGTTCGTGCACCAGCGTGAGCCTATCCTTCACCTTCTATCAATTATGCCGGGTTATCCAAATGACCACTCCGTTTTACTAGAGCACACAATCAAAAGTCCATGATTTCAAAAGTTTGAAAACAAGCGATTGTTATTTCTGATTGGCAACATTTTGCTTTCGACTCAAACGCTTCCTCAGGCTAAGTGAACTGGGACCTACTTTATTCGGCATTTATAGCACTCTTGGAGAGTGGTTACGGCAAAAAATGATGTGGTAGAGATGAAGACTGTTTTAGTTCGATGTCTCATCTCAAGCGTTACATCAACATTCATCGACATTCATCATGTTAGCTGGATTAAGACAGCTCGCCATGCATTTTACAGCTGCATTCCATTCCATTATGTTCATGCAACTGTTGTCCCTGGTGTTTTCCACTGTTTCAGCAGTTGGATCTTGCGGTGTTAATCGCAATCCCCTCCTGATGATCTCAACACTGTCCAAGTCGATCTGATGCCTCATATCTAGTGTATGCACGGCTACCGCCGAATCTGCTATTAGAGCCTTGTACTCCGGCTCGTTTTTTGCGGTCGTGATGTGAGTTCTCGATCAGATCCAAGACTTTTCTAGATTTTGAAACCGAAAGCCTTGTTCGCTGGGATATGTTGCCTTCCGACGTCTTATGCAAGTGTACTAGGCAGCCAAGCTGAGCAGTTATCCATGCTGGATAGTATTGCACTAGGCCGGGCAGACAGTTTGGTCTGGCGCCATGCCAAACATGTGATCAGACGACTAACAACGGCATGCGAGTGCGTCATGGGTGGCTGACAAGGTTGTGTAGGCGTCAGCCGTGTGAACGCCGATCATGTGGACGAGGTTGTGCCAAATATGGAACAGGTGCGATGTGATTGGGTGGTGAACCCGGAGTGGGCGTCGACTGAATGTACAGGAGTCGTACTCCGGCAAGTACGAATGACCGAAGCAAAACGAAACGCGTTTACATTGATGGTGGCCTGGACACCGACGACGAGGAGTTCGAGGCTTCGTTAATTAGCAGTTTCGGTACCTATAAGTAGAACCATTCCGTTCCATAGAATACACTCCGTTTACCCGAGTCTGGTTTCTGTTTTCACGGTTGGATTGGACACCGGGGATAACGTGCCGTAGGCAGCAGTACCGCAGGTGGGCACCCCAACTGTGTGCGGTAATGCAACATGTGGCGACCCCAACGGTGGCGACTTCAACGGAATGTCACTTTTGATATCTCTGGGTCAACCGATCCGTTAATAGTTTGAGCCTTTTGTGCCTCAAAGCAGCCTTTCCTTACCACTCAGTTTCCTACCTATTTATCTTAGTATTTGACTTCCCAATGTAATTTAATCAAGAAACCATGGTAACTGGTCAGTCGTTTTCCCGCAGTACTTTCCAAGGTCTCACGACGTAACATTCCGGTGGTTGCATGGCTTTCCAATCATTCGTGCTACAGTGTTCTCTGCTGCGTACTGGATGAATGTCAGAACCAATGGATGGTACTATCGTTTTGTCTGCTTAACATGTGTTCTTTTCTGCATATGCCCAACAGCTTGTGCAAATGCGTTTGGTTCCACGCGAACCACCCATGTCTGAATAGGCGAAGCCGTCAACCACGGCTCCAGTACGTTGCCTTACTGGTTATTAGATCCTCTTTTTCGCCACTTCTGGTTGAAACGATTCCGCTCCTCACCATATCCAATCTTTAGTTAGTGACTTAACACAAAGTGTGTTGAATGTGCGGCACCCGAATCGGCACTGACAGTCTAATTCCAAATGTATATTTTTATTCCAACTCATCGTCAGTTGCTTCAACAACAAAATCAGCTGCCAGAAGTAGCGGCTCGGAGGCCTAGGCAACCAATAAAAAGGTAGATGCTCTCGTCGCGGGGAGGGTTCGAATTTTCCCTAAACGATTTGATACTCCTGTTGAACATAACTGACCCAAATTCTTTTCCCGATGTATTTTACTTTTTTCTGCACATTGGTTAAAGATCGACTTTTGTGTTTCCAATACAGGGTAGTAGGTATACCGACTTAGATAAGGTAGCCAGGGAATTTGCTGTTATTCAGTGGAACCATTATTATTATTATTGTTATTATTATTCAGCAGTCTTTACGCTTCCCTTTTGTCCTGATTTCACCGGCTTTTCATATGCTTTCGGAGGTTGGGGCGGGTACGGTTTTTGCAAAAGGATTTTGTTGTTTTATGGCGTTCCCTTAGTCCATACTTATGTCGATTCATATATTTTCCTTTGATTTTTGATTCTCTTACTGCTTACACAGCCACGCGTATCCCGGTGCATTTTGTATATTGCACGTTTCAGAGATCTTGCTACCGCTATTTCCAGATACGAACGATACCAATTCGATCGCATGCATTACGTAGTGAGTGCTTCTGTCCTCCCGTGCATGTTTCATAATTTATTTTGTTACTGTTTTCGTGTGCGCTACACTTTACCTTCCACTCCATCTTTGTCGGGATTCTCATCATTTCCGTTCGTTTGTTTTTATCTGTATTTGTACCTGCTTGCATATTCTTACTGTCCAATGCTTTGTTTCCTTATTGCCAGTGACAGCAATCGTGTTAAATCGGTACTTCTTACAGAAATTCAATTTTTTTCGTTTTTAAGACTAAAATGGACTTAAACGGGGTTTGATCAATGCTCTAGATACTGTATACAAGCGTTCGTAATCAAATTGCCCCACCTTGTGTTTTTACACAGCATAGTCACTGGTCGACACGAAGCTTTTGGCGGCTTCTACGCCTGAAATCCATTGGTGCTTTCACTTGTCCACCTCATAACCACCAGGTCTATGCCATTTTCAGCTATATATATATATATATATATATATATATATATATATATATATATATATATATATATATATATATATATATAAAGTCTGCTAACAGACATAATGCCATCAGAAACCATGGGATTCAAACGAAGGTACAGAAACAGTAAAATAAAACACAACACAATAATGTCCATGGTTTCCTCAGAGCGCGAGATGCTACCCGGTTGCCCAAGCCGAAGTAGAGTGTTGACTTAGGGGACACCACCCCGAGCCTTTGGATGAATAGACTGCGCGCAACGCAGCGGAGCGAATTCAGGGAATCGCGCCCATTGGGAGCCGGTGACTGATTGCTCAGTTCATACGCCTTTCGTTTGTTCCTTTGTCAAACAGGGATCCAATGCTCCCCAGAAGTACAGCATAAGGTTGCTGGAATACAATGCTTCGCCAGGATGAAGCAAGAGGCAGTGACTTTATTTAGTGGCGAGTCACGTCCGCCACGTCACAGTGTTGTTAAACGGACATATATGGCTTTTTATAGGGAGAACGCTTGCCAGACGAAAACCCACCACATACTGGAACACTGCCGCTGAACCATTTGCTGGAACGGGAAAATCCAGAACCACCCAGCTGGCACCACGAGGAGGTTGTTCTCCAAGCCAGCTATAGTCACTAACGTCGCTTCACTGACGCATTCGTCAATGTCGTTGCGAACGATCACAAGATGCCTGCATTTAGATACAGACTATGCATGTTTTTCCGTTCATGAGCAACTTAACTAGGCAAATCCAGAAGGAATACGACTGAGAATCATGCTGGCTGTTGGTGGTACACTTGATTTGCATCCGGCTCACGCGCTTATCGTTGATGTCGAATAGCGGGGAGTGGGTGGCTGGATGCCTATGGGAAGTCTGCCGTACTGTAGTGGAGCAGTAGCCTAGCGGTGCCATGAAAACGATGTGCTCACTTTTTCTCAGCCCCGCAATCAGCAGGTTAATGAAACATGTCGTCAGGATGCCGACAGTGGACAGTTAGCCAATTTTCCATCACTCATCAGACGCACCGGATCAAACATGTCGTATAGTGATGAACATCTGAAACACAAGTCGGTTATTCCTATTTTAAATCCGATTTAAATGACATGGTTAGCCGAATACCTCGTCTACCATCTGCACGTCATGGGAGTGAGACTACTCTAATTAACCGACACGCATCCACTCACACTAATGAACTTTCGCGGCCGCAGGCAGATGTGGTTGGGGTAGGTAGCTTACATTTCTGTTGTCTATACAGTCAACTATGCATAGGTCAAAAGCATTGCCTCCGACAAAAATGTTGTCATCCAGGTATGCATCTGCGCCATCGACGTCTGTCAGCATTGTGCCCATGGTTTGTTGGAATATGGCTGGTGCGGATTTGACTCCAAACGGAAGACGGTGGTACTGTTCCAAGCCTCGGTGCGTATTGATGGTGAGTACTTCTCGTGAGGCTTCGTGTACCTCGATCTGCAGGTATGTGTCGGAAACATCCAGTTTTGCGAAACACTTACCCTCATGCAGTTTTGCAAACAAATCATCCGGAAGCGGAAAAGGGTATTGATGAACGTTCTATGCAGCATTCAGACTCGTCGAGAAATCGGCGCCTATTCGAATTTGAGCGTTCGGCTTTCCAACGACCACAATAGGTAATGCTCAGGATGAGTAATTTTCCCGGTGGATAACTCCTGCTCTCTCTAAACAATCCAGCTCCTGGTCAGCCATTGGTGTTGCTGCTTAAGGTATAGGGCGCCTCATGCGAAACACTGGAACGGCATCGGGGTTAAGGGACAGTGAACCTTGTACCTTCGTGCACTTACCATGGCCTACGTCGGCCGGTGGCCGAGTGGTCTGCACGTTTGCTTTGCAACCATAGGGTCACCGGTTCGAATCCGCGTAGGGGTGGGCGTCCTCGCGGTATACTCAGCCCGCGCGCGACTGGTGGTGGTCGCGCGGCAGCGAAGCGCCGTTCTGGCGTACAGCTGACACATTATATTGTTATTATTATTATATATACCATGGCCTACCCGAAAGACTGCTGCATACTTCTGTTGCAGATGCTGGATGGCCACCGTTTTGGGGGCTGTTAGTTTGTGTGTCTACAATCACACAAAACCACAGGCAGATTGAAACGCTCAATCCAACCTAGACCCAGGATATTCACATTCTGATGGGTCGTGACGAATAGCGATCCCCATGCGGTAAAGTCGGCATAGTGACATTCACATTCGGCTTGACCAAGCAATTTCAACTCCGTACCTGACGCAGTCTTCGCCTGTTGACTGGTACGTTTGATATCGGGCGACCCGACAATCCTCCACAGTCCTGATATGACCGTGATGTCTGAGGCGGTATCAGTCTGCAGGTTCACCCGTCTTCCATTGATGGTGATGGTGATGTACTTCTATCTCGGACATCATCAGCAAAATTGGCGTTCACTCTCTGCAGTATGGCCTTATGTCTTCTTTCAATTATCGTGACCTGGACCGAAAGGTAGTTTGGCTCTGCAATAGATTTCTTCGTGCCCACGTCTATGGCAGTTCTGGCAGATATGCTTGTTACATGGACACAATCTAACAAAATAGCAGTCACCGCATTGTCAACAGGCTTCTTATGATCAGTTGCTGGAAATTTGCTCCTGGAAATCTGCTGAACAGCGAAATCATTGAAATGCGTCTTTGTATCCTCGATCATAGCTGTATCATGTTTCAACTTAATGATTCTCTGGTCTCTGCAGCGGCAGTTTGCAGTGTGACCTCTGAGTCTCGGTCCATAATCTCCAATGTTCTGGCCCGTATCCCGGCATCCTTAGAAGATTGCAGGCTGCATACCAAAGTCAAACACTACAATTGCGGCATGCGCAATGAAACTGCCGCTATCCATTTTGCACAACTTCAGACAAGTGTATCGCTTGTTGAAAAGCGATGCCTGATCGCCGAACATTTTCGACACTCAGGAAACTGTTTCGTCAAAATTAACCTCTTGAGCGGTCTTGGGCAAAATGTAATTGATGTATCTGTCGTGCTCCACACTTTCGACTTTACGCTACGATAGTCGCACTTTTGATGCATCGTCAAGGTTTGCGAGTTCTGTCCGGAAAATATCTTCCAAACGTTTGGATCACTGATCCAAAATCAGCCCTGAAGCGGGTTCAAAACCGAACTCATTGACACTGTTGACTATTTCATCAACTGAAAGCTTCTCAGCAATGTGGAGAGCTGTAGACTGGAGCGAGGGTGAGGGTCTCCATCATTCGCAGCTGTGCGTCCTCGAACTGCTTGTAGTGTTGCAATGAAATAGCTTTTAAGTCTTCTGCTGAGATAGAAATCTTGATTAATTTTACCTCCCGTCGCCAGAAATCTGTTGTGATTTCCGCTAAATGTACGGATAACTTGTTTAAATCAGTTATGCTGCCCTCAACCAGTTCAACTCGCTACGAAATGAGAACGCCAAGACCAGCCGGATCGAGAGGTACGTACTGTGAGAGCATAGCGCAATATATAGGTTGTAGGCAACTACTAACACAACGAGACTGGAGATGCTAGTTCGAACGGTTCAAATTCAGGGTTCAACTTGCTGTTGACTCCATCTAGATTCGCGGTTGATCTCTGCCCGAACTCCATCTCCAATTGTAGATCGATCCAATGTTGCGCTACGGTTCTCGGCTTGTTCGCTGATCGTAAGCTGGCTCCCCGTAACAGACATATTCATCGGAGGCGTCCAGTTTAGCAAAGCACTTGCCACCATTCAGACCTACTAATTCTTCCGGAAGCGGAAGTTGATACGCAGTCTTGTAGAATAGTCTGCGCAGAGGCGAATCTTTCCGTTTGGCTACTTGACAACCACGATGGGACTGCCCATGACGAGTAATTGTCTGCCTGTTTGTAGACTCTCAAGATTTCCGTCAACCACTGAAACGTCCGTATATAGTACCGGCCACTTTAGTCTGATGAATGACTGCGTTCGCCTGTAGAAATAAACAAGCTCTGAGTTTTCGTGCTGAATCCCAGATCATCCTTGAAAAATTATGGATTCGTCTTGTGTAAGATCTCCGTCAAATGCACAGCGTCACTGCTTACTTTGTTACACACGTAGTTCAAAGGGACATCAAGTGGCTTCACACTGTCAATCCAATCAAGGCCAAGTAAGTTCAGCTTCGGGTTTCTTGTTCCATAGCAAATCCTTTCGAATTGAAAGTCTTAGAAAGCAATGGGACAAGAAATTTCACAAACGTGGTTCACAACTCCTCTTGAAGCATTGGTTGCAACACGCGTTATTTGTTGCATAGATGGTTCACCAATGTGCTTCCAAATTATCTCAGAAATGACCGTGTTATCGGAGGCCATGTCAACTCGTAGGCGCACAGACACTCGATTCGTATCTACGGTAACGAACCTTTTGCATTTTGTGTCCCCCTCATCCAAAGTAGCAAAAGCAGGATAACGCTGGGACCCTTATTTTGGTAATTAGTTTGGTACAAACCTTCTGGAATAGTTGGTTGAAACGTCACGCTTGAAAGCAAAACAACGTCATTGATCATCCTTATAGCCCCGTTTATTGCATTCCGGACAGATGTTTTTTTTGAACGGACAGAGTGACGAAGTGCCATTCCCCACATTGCCATCACGCGAATGGTGGCCTACTTTGTTTCACATGCTTCGAAATGTTCGTTGAACGTTCGCATTAGTTTGACACCACCAGCACATCTACGGGGCATGCATTGTGCCTTTGAGTAATCCGGTTTGTGTGATTAGCCTCCGGCGTTCCGCAATGATTGATATGAGATTGATAGACGGATCCTGCTCAATCTTGTTGTTAGGCAATCTCATGCGTATTTTGACATCCTCGGACGCTTTGGGTCCACAATCAAATATCAACGCCTTAAATTGATTTTTCATAATCTATTTCAACTTGAATCGCTCACAATGACGGTTGACGCTACTAGCGTAAGCAACAAAACCGTTATACGCATTTTAACCAGTTTCATGCGACTGTACCGGACGCCGAATAAAGAAGACTGTTCACCAAAAATGTCATTTGGCAATTGTACAAGTTGATCGAATGTAAAATCTTCGGGGCATTTAGGCAGAATAAAATTGAGGAACTTTTCATGTTCTTTGGTCCCAAGCTTCCGCAAGAGCAGCCTGCACTTCCATCTGTCATCAACCTCAGTGAACTCCGAGCGGAAAACATCTTCGTATATACTGAACCAAAATTCGGTGGTCACATATGCATTCGGTTTATAGTGAAACTCGCAAATGCGTGTTGTAACTGACATCCACAGAAGCCTGCTGCTTTTCTGTGCTTGGCCTTTTTTGCACCACAATACGCTGAAAAATGCTCTCTATCAACCGTGACTGCTTTTCTTCAAATTGCTTCTGTCGGTGTTGCAGTATGATCGTCACTTGCAATGATTCGGAATACCTGTAGCTCGGGTTGGTAGTTAACATTTTGATTCGTTCTCCGAGCTGAGTAATTTAATGTTAAACGTTTCACCACTTCCCTCAGTGGCATCTTCAGTGTACAGCTCCGTAGAGATTTTCCTTCTGCGTCAACAGCAGGTTGGTGTTGCAGGAGCGGGGAAGATTTTGCTGAAGTAGGCTGTGGTCACCCATAGTACTTTTTCCCTCTTCAGGTCGCCTAGATAGCATGAGGTAGGTCGTTGATGTAGATGAGGAACAAAACGGGTTCCGACACTGTGCCTTGGAGTTCGCCACTAATCATCATCATTACACACCAGCTGGGGTTGAGAAACACAACTGTTGTGGCGCACTACATAAAGATATACGCAAAAGCGAGATACTAAATAATCTACAGTACACAAAGCAGACAACACATTGCTCAGTAATAGATTTTGCCTCAAGATCGTTGTTGGAGGAGGATTACAGACGTGATGAGGAAGACAAAGAAGCACAGCACAAACGTCATTGTGCGCGGCTGTTTGCTAGGTCAACTAGTGTATCCAACCCGACGTGTTCCTTGTGTTTTGGACTCCAGCCCGACAGTCGGGATGCACCTACCGATGTCAACTTCGAAGTGAAGGTGCTTATTCCTCTCGACCAAGTCATCGCTTGACCTCCCCTCCTCCTCCTCCTCCATTCACACCTACGGTACGCAAACAACGCACGACGCGCGAGTCGGTGTGCTGGCATATGCAGCATATGGCCCAACCATCGGAGCCTGGTGCCTTATATAACGGTGCTGAGAGGTTCACTCGATCTTTCTGCAACTAAATACGCGACGCAGAACACATGCATTGCTCACGCGGTGCTCACACCAGACGAGCTAACCTACGAAGGCAGCGATGGCCAAACGTATCTGGCCTCGTTAAAGCTGTTGCTTTGTTCTCGTAGCCATACAATAAGATTGAACGGAGAGCTGCATTGTACAACCTGCACTTCAAGGCGAGAGTGATGTTGCGTCGGTGCCACAAGAGTGGCGAAGATTGGCGAAAGTGCCTCCAGCTTTTACCATACACTTTTTGATCTCATGTTTTCTTCCACTGGCGCTATTATAGCTGCGTAGATACTGGCATTTTTTGATGACTTCTAGCTGCTCACCTCTAAGGGTCGGCACAGGAGTGGGTCGCTGCTAGTCTTTATAGTGCGACGGAGCAATGTATAGCCAAAGACAATTGACAGACAATGCTAATCAGTCCGGTGCTGCTTTGCACGTTTGAGAGCTGGCATAGATGATTTTAATGTCCCCGCTATACTCAAAATCAAGAAATCGATCACCTGGCAACGACTCCAAATCTTGTAAGCCGTGTCCAGAGAACGCGGTTTCCATAACTTCATCAATGGGCTAGGTAAAAATTAATGCTGACAACGGCCATCCTTTTCTCTCATCGCTGGATATATAGAAAGGCTGCAACAGTTTGCCATAAACCCACATTCTGCCTGAAGCGTGCGCGTACAGCGCTCTGATAATGTTTACGTAATTATCGGGCACACCATTCCCGAGTAAACAATCCCAAAAGACACATCATTCATCCGATTCGAAGGCGCCTTTGGTGACGATGCTCCAACAATTGACGTAATGGGAAGTAGTGATCCCTACAGCCCCGACCTCGACAAAACCCGACTTGCTCCTCACGAATCTCTCGGTCAGTCTGTGCAAAATAGCAAAGTAACAGTAGCGATGGACCTCAGATTGGTTCCTCAATGTTTGCTGCATTTCGATTATTACGCAGCGGCTCCAGTCTTGCTGGGACCGTCCCGTGCTCCCACAGCTTCATACGCAAGTTGTGCCGGTCGTCTACAAGAGTAGCTCTCTCGAATTTGTAAAGAGCTGGAGGGATTCTATCCGCTCTGATCTCACATTCTGCTTCTGCCCGTGATGGCGGGTCCATTGGGACGTCTCAGGGAGGTGATCGATCATTGGTCGATGGAGAAGCTGGTGACTCCAGTTGTTTAGGCTGCTTTTCAAAGTGTTCAGATCAACAATCCAAGCGTTTTGACGAACTGTAGCTCGACCGTCCACCCACGTCACGTATGGTGTCGCTAACACCAGGCCTCCTGCCAGTTTCGCGTATCCGACGGAATAACTTACTGCAGTTACCAAGATCAGCGGCCATTTCTATATCCCATGCACGATGAGACTACCAGGCTTCGCGGTCTCCCTTAGTCCGCCATTGTT